ATAGAGGAGAGAGAGGAGATAGAGGAGATAGAGGAGGAGGAGGCGGAGGAGAAGGAGGAGGAGGAGGAGGAGGAGGAGGAGGGGGAGGGGGCGAGGACGAGGACGAGGACGAGGACGATGAGGAGGAGGAGGAGGAGGAGATAGAGGAGGCGATATAGAGGAGGAGGAGGAGGCGGAGGAGGAGGAGGAGGAGGAGGAGGAAAAGGGGGAAGTGGGCGGGTGCCCTCGCCGGTCAAAGGTCCGGACAGCCCGACGAGCGGCGAGGGTGGGGTCGAGTCGGGCATGCCCATCTGCAGGAGGAGAATGCAAACATGGCGAAAAATGGCCCAGGGGCGATCGATCGATTCTTTCTTGTTGCATGCTTTTGAATATTTTCAATGTTTCCTTCGAACTCCGCCTGTATGCCCTACCTAAGGGTACGGCTTGGAGTCCGTCGAAAGCGTGGCGACATTCCAACCCGACCCCAGGGATCGGGTTCGACCCCGGCCTCCAGCCGGATGGGGCCAGGACGAGAATCAATCCGTTCAGAGGGTTCCGGAGCGCTCCCAGAGCGTTCCGGAACTCTCTGGGAAGGCCGCAGCGCCCGAGACATTTTCCAGGACCGCAGCATTTCAGAGATTCTCGATTTATCTTCATCTGGTTTGATTCTCGTGCGACCACCGCAAGCCTTGTAGCCAGTTTCCACGCCGCCAGAGGCGCAAATGTATCGAGGAAGGCGTGTACCCCCTTTTACCTAATCCCCGAGGAGGAAGAGGAGGAGGAAGAGGAGGAGGAGGAAGGGGAAAGACGACAAGCGATGTACGCCTCGAGCAGGCCGCTCGCAGAGCTGGTGCTGCGACCGCTACGGTAGGAGGCCTGTGCTCCTCTTTTCTCCCTCTCCCTCTCCCATCGATTCAGGAGCATCGATGATTGGTTGGGGAGGTGCTCGGATGTCGCCAGCTATGGTTGAGTCGGGCGTGCCCCTCCACAGGAGGAATATTCAAGGATGGCAAAAACATAGCCTGGGGGCGAGGCTTCCATCATTGTTGTTGTCTACGTTTGAGTGTTAGCTCGACTACCTTCTCCTGGCTCCTCCACACTCCGCCTGTCGGAGGACATGCCCGACCTGAAAAGCTACTCCAGATTTCGTAATAAAAGGGAGGGGGTCTGGACCCTCCAAGACAAGCCATTTCAGACCTCCCCCGTGGGAGAACCCTCCAAAACATCGTCCCCAGACCCCCCAGGCCCTCCAAGATAGCCTGGAAAAGACCCCCCCCGAAATGAGACCCCCCTCCCTTTATTACGAAATCTGGAGTAAGGGCCCCGCGGCCTCGGCCTCCCCGGGGCGGCCCCGCGCGGGGAGGAGACCGGGCGCGCTCCACGGGTGGCGCGCGCTGGCCTCCAGGCGCCCGCGGGTGCGCGCGCCTCCTCTGGCGGCCGGGTGGGGCAGCAGGCGGCGAAGAGACCAGGAGGAGAGCAGGAGAAGTTTTTTCCTTTCCCGAAGAGAGAGAGAGAGAGAGAGAGAGAGAGAGAAAAAAAAAAGGAGAGTCTCGAGAAGATGTGGTTTCGCTCCGACATGGCCCAAGACTGGAGGGCCCCGCACAGCACCTCACGATAGGAAACCGCAGAAACGTGGGGGGCCGTTATGCCCCCCAACCCGAGGGGCTTTGTTGGGCCCTGGAAACGGCAGGGCAGTTCTTGTTACCGGTTCCGTTCTGCCGTTTTTGTTGCAGGCTCCGACGCCGTTTTTTTGCCGGTTCCGTCGCCATTGTTTGGCGGGTTCCGGCTCCGGTTCCAATCTTGGAGTCGTTTTGTTGCCGTTTCCGGTCGCTGTTTTTTTGCCGTTTCCATTTTCAAGGGACATTTATTTGGAAGCGGTGAAAAAACGGCCCTGCCGTTTCTCACAAAGGAGGGGGGGCAGCGGGAAGGAGAAGGCCTCCTCGGAAGGCGGCAGGGCTCTTCGGAAGCCCTGCGGCCCTCTGAGAGGTCTCCTTGGTTCTCTGGGGAGGGCTCGGGAGTCTCGTCAGGAGGCCCAGGTATTCCTGAGCCTTCTGAGGAGGCCCGCCTCTTCGCACTCCCCCCTCCCCTGGCTGGCCGCTGACGAAATCTGTGAATGGGGAGTGATTTGTTCGTCGGCTTTCGGCCCCTACCTCGGGCATCCGGCGGCCGTTTGGGGCGACTCTGGACCCACCCCGAGATTGGATACAGTCGGATCGAGGTATAAGATCGAGGTCGGTTCGGGGAGGGTACCCTATAGTGTTCTTCATGTTCTCCCCCGGGCTCGCCGCCGAGAGTGGGCACGAATGGGGAAGTCCGTGGAGGGAAAGGTGCCGATGCCGCTGCCCTTCCCGCGTCGCTAAGGCTGGATTCGGCTCCAGGTCAGAGCGCACCCCAGGAGCCGGCCGAGGAGTAGTGGTATGGGCATCTTTCTTCTAGGCCTCCCAGATGGAGTCCGAGCAGATGGACTCGGAGGATCGTGCCGCATCGCCGATGCGGCGCGATGTGGGGCCCCATCTATTTCGACTCCACCGAGGAGGCCTTCATGGGTACCTTTCTTGTTCCCCCAGGAAGGGGGGGCGTCCTGGAGGAAGCTGGCTCTGAGGGTGTGTATATCGTTGTTTCCCCGCGGTCGCTGTCACCGCTCACCTCTTCTCGTGCGCAAAGGTGCGCCATCCCGCGACCTCGGTGTTGATGCATAACACTGGACGCGTCGTTCCCCACGTCGCCGCTGACGGAAGTGTTTAGCTTATTATGGGCTCCCGGGGGCCATCCCCGGGCCCCGCCAAAAGAGAGCGTGCTGGGTACAGCAGGTGACCCGGGGAAGCCTCGGGATCCGGTTCCGTCCGGCCCGCTTCCGTCAGGCCGAGGAGGGGGGGCCGAGGTTCCCTCCCCGATGCACGGTGCCCTCGCCATCCCCCGCCACCCCGCCTTGCCCCGCGGGCGGGCGCGCCTTTCTGTGTGCGGTGGGTTGGGGTTGGGAGGGGGGGGAGGGGGCGAGGTCCCCGTCCCAAGTGCCATCGCCTTCCCCACCTCTGCTCTTCCGTCACGTTCTCCCCCTTCACCATGGCCCTCTAATTGCCTTCCCCCCCCTCGCCTGTCCGTCCGACGCTGCTCGCTTTACACTGGCCAGCTGGATTGGTTAATGTGCGCTTGGTTCAGCCAGGCATGCGCTTGGTCACGGAGGTGACGGAGGATTGGCCAGCAAAGCACAGTTCCTGACAAGCAGCCAGAGTGTAAATGTAATGGAGCGCATGACTTGTGCGTGACCTGGGCAAGTTTGGAAACATGTCAGTCACGATCAGTCCTGAGGGAATGCACTCATGTTGTGTGTGTGTGTGTGTGTGGCAGCAGGCTGTCATATGTTTGGCAGTGCGTTTGGGCATTTCGAGTTGCGGGCCGCAGAATTGGGATTGATGCTTCACCACACTTGCACCGTCGATGCGGTGCTATACAGCAGTTGCCGAGGTTATGGAGTATTTCTGATGGGTATCTCCGCCCGACCCGGGCTTCACCGCTGCGCACATCAGAGGTGATATTTGGACGGAGCTACATTACATGATCTACACGTCCAGGGGGATAGAGAGAGATGGAGCAAAGGTTAGCGACAGAATCTTCCTCTCGCGCCGTACATTTGGGGGAAGGGCGCTTGACCAGCAGGCAGATTCGTTCTTAGATGGTCACGAGAGCCTGGGCTTTAGCGCGGGCAGAGCGAGTGTGACGTTTGTCTCAGTCCTCTCGTGCAAACACGGGCGGGTGTTTGTGCAAGCAACGTGTGTGTGTGTTCTTTGTCGACATGGGTTATTCATCGTTGCACGTTGTTCAGACTGACGCATATGCGCGTCTGAAAGTTGCGCGTGATTGGGTGACGTGTAATCGTGTGGTCGTTATATTGTTGCTCCAGCGATCCATCCACTTATTTGCACTCGTTCCTCCTCTTGTTGTTTTTTCTCTGCCTACCCCCTCTCTTTCTATGCATACAGACATGCATATAAATATGCAAATACAGATATATATGTATGTAGATACATCTGTGCGCATGCATATGGTTACTTTTATATATGGGCCAGTGTGTACATGCATGCATGTGTACATATATGTATATATACATATATATACACATATATATACACATAGATACCCATCCTCTCATATCATCAGTGCGTTGTATCTTTGATCCGAGGTTTTCGTACATCGTTTGCGCCATGATGGGGGTCAACTTTGCCATCCCAGCTGCATTAATTCTTAGTGGTGTGTGGCAGACGAACCAGCTAACTAGGGATGCCGTGACGAAGTGGAGCAACGCGCAAGCCATACAATGACAGAGTCGCGCGAGGGCCCGGACAGGGAGCAGATAGTAGGTCGTAGTGGGCGATGGGATAGTTTCAGGCTGTTTTGGATTGCACGTGCATGATCTCTTAGAAGTTTGCGGGCTCGGGTCGTTGTTGAAGTCTTGGCAGCGGTGGAACATGTGTACAGTAAATTGTTCGTTACCTGCCCTTTAGAGGCAGGATATCGACGCACATTCTGATAGACGTTGTGCCTTGAGGTGTGCGAGGTCGCAGTCGTTGGCCGAGCCTTGGTCCACGAGGGGGGCGCAACTCTTCCACGAGTGGGGGCCTCAAATGGATCCCGCATGCGGCACCAGCCCGAGCATACCCCCGACGTCGTGTGTTTTCCACAGCGTCGACCCCCAGAGGTCTGGACCCCTTCCCTGGGACCAGTGTTTCGTCCTGAGTCTCGGGGGCGGCCAAGAGGGGGGTGGTGACTTAGGGGTGTGTGTGTATATAATTATTTATCCTGGCGTGGGCCATGATGTTTCCCCAGATTTCACGGCGCCTCTTCTGGTTTCACTACGTCCCCGGCCCCCCCCTCCTCCTGGGCCTCCTCCTCCTCCTCCTCCTCCTCCTCCTCCTCCTCCTCCTCCGCGCACATGCCGCCGGCCATGATTGGCACCCCCCCTCCTGGACGCCCCCCCTCGCGGACGCCCCCGAGAGCAGCCCTCTCTTTCGGCGCTCCCCCCCCGCGGACCCCGCGCGCGCCCGCGGGGCCGCCGAGGGCCGCCCCGCGGGGCCGCCCTCCCGGGGGGCCAACGGCGGCAGGGCGTTGGGCGCCGCGTAATGGGGGGGTCATAAATGGGGGGGGTGGCGAGGAGGAGGAGGAGCGAGGAGGAGGAGGAGGAGGAGGAGGAGGAGCGAGGAGGAGGAGGAGGAGGAGGAGGAGGAGGAGGAGGAGGAGGAGGAGGAGGAGGAGGAGCGAGGAGGAGGAGGAGGAGCGAATGGGGTGGTTCGAAAAGGTACCCAGACGGTACCTAAACGAGCCCCCTAGGGCTCTGGAGGGGCCCGAAGGGGGCACGAAAGGGGACCTTTTCTGGCCCTCCCATTTGTGACCACGCCCAAAGGGCGGAGCGCACGCGCCGCGGCCTCGCGCGGCGCGCGCGGCCGGAGGCGCTCGCGTGCCGCGGCGGCGCTGGCGGCCTGGCCGCCGCGGCGCTGAGGGCGCCGGGGGGCCAGGCGACCCGCAGCGTCGTCTTCTCGACTGCACGTCAGAGTGACCTTTCGCCGGAGTGACCGTTGGTGCGGGCCGACGAGGGTCCCCGGATCGCCGAACGCGATGCGGTAGTAGCGTCTTGCGCGATTTTTCGTGGCACCCCCACGGCACTCTTACCCAGGGTCACTCTTGCGTGCAGCCGACGTCTTCTAGGCCTCCTGGATGGGGTCCGAGTAGATGGCGCTGGAGGATCGCCCCTCATCGCTGATGTATCGACGATGCGGCTCGATGTGAAGCCCGTGTTTCCTTACGCCGACGTCGCCGATGCATCGCCGTGGTCGCCGATGCAACGCTAATGCATCGCCGATGCATCGGCGATGCATCGGCGATGCGGCGCAATCCTTCGACCCCATCTACTCGAACCCCAACGGGAGACCTCTGTGTCTCGAGAAAGAACAAGCGCCATACTCATAAACTGTTGGCGCTCCGCGCGGATTTCTTGGATCCGCGCCGCCCCCCCCCCCCGGCGGCGCCTCCGGCGACGCACCTGGCGCGCTCCGCGCGCCAGGGAGGGGTGTCAACCGCGGATCCAAGGAATCCGCGCGGAGCGCCAACAGTTTATGTTTATGGCGTTTTTTCTTCTTCTAGCGTTGTCGCCGCCGCCGCCACCGTCGTTCGACTGGACGTGAGAGTGACTGGGCATCGCCCGGTCGACGTGTGCATTTTTGCCCTCGGCGAAGGCATCGAGAAGCATCATAGGATCATCCTTCGGAAACAGAGCAGCACGCACGAAATCAAAGCATGCGGGAGGACTGGAGGTCCGAGCGATAACGAGCTGACCTTTCGCCGGAGTGACCGTTGGCGCGGGCCCGCTGGGGTCCCCCGATCGCCGAGCGCGATGCGGTGGCAGCGTCTTGCGCGCTGGTGCTTGGTCTCCCCGCGGCCCCCCAAAGAGCCGCGCAGCAGAGGGCACTCCTTACCCATAGGGTCATCCTTTGCGTGCAGCCGAGTCGTCGGCTCCGCTGCCGCCGCCTCTCCGCCGCAGCCACCGCCGTCGTCTTCGCCGCCGCCGTTTGTGGCGTCTTCGCTGCCGTCGGTGTCGTCCCCAGGCTTCTGGCGACTCGAGGGCGTCGCACCCAAGAGGTTGTCACTATGTTAATTACGGTCTCTGGGGCCTGAAGGTGAAGGCTGACCCCTTCAGGCAGCAGCTCGGACAACTCGGCCTGGAGCGGAAAACGCGCCAGGTCACGCAGCAGAAGGGCCCCAAGGATACGGGTGAGAAGGAGGATATCCAAAGCTTCGCGGTGACATTGGACACCTCGATGGTTGAGGTCAGGGGGTAGAGCCAACATGCCGTCGAGCCTGGCACGTCGGCGAAACACAAAGAAGGTAACAGCAGTGTCCACGAGCAGAAGTGCGACACCCAGAACCCCGAGTTTGAGCTCTTCGCGCATATGCAGACCTTGGGGCATAATCTCAAGCAGTTGTCCCCCGCCAGACTCAGCATTTCGCTGGCAGACAACTCAGGTGATGCTTTCGGCACCAGGGAGCGAAAACGTGATAAGAGGTCCTGGTGCTCCAGAGCTGGGCATTGGCGCATTGGAACGCGCCGGCGACAGCGCCCGCTGCGTGATCGATCAGGCACGCGCGGCTGGCTACGGCGTGCTCGCGCAGACCAGCCTGCTCCAAGACTTGCTGGGAGCAGCGGCACTTGAACAATCTGTGCTGCGACCCGGCGCGCTCGCAGAACATCGCCCAAACGTCTTCCAGGCCTCCCAGCTGGGGTCGGAGTAGATGGGGATGGAGGATCGCGCCGCATCGTCGACGCATCGGGGATGCACCAGGGACGCATCGTCGACGTCGGCGAGTTAGATCATTCAACAGGAAAACGAAAAGTGACACAAACATAAACTCGGAGGTCCGCGCGGATTTCTCGGAACTGCGCTGGACCCACCCGGCGGCGCCACCGGCGCCGCCCCTGGCGCGCTCCGTGCGCCATGGAAGGGGGTCCAGCGCCGATCCGAGAAATCCGCGCGGACCTCCGAGTTTTTATGTTTGTGTCGTTTCTTTCTCCCCGACTCAAGTCAAGCCTGGGAGGCGGAGGCATGACACCGGGCTGCGAGGAGGCAAGCTAACCTCGCAGTTCTGCAAGAACGAAATGGGTACGGAAAGAATGGGTACAATGCTCGACATCAGTTCCTGTTCATTTTGAACAGGACTCGCTGTCCGCGCCGCCGCGGCCTGTGTCCATTCGAGACAGAAGACCGCCTGCTCAACGGCGGCCGCTGTTGGTTCGGATCACCATTTGTTGTTGGGCATTGTGCCCATTCTTTCACTGCCCACTTCGGGCGTCCAAAGCAGTGCGCTCCGATCGGGGACACCTGCCTCCTTCTGGTGCCGGGACGGCCGGGGGGTCCGACGGTCCGCCTGCCGCTCGAGCAGCACTGCCCCTGCAGGCTCGGCGCCCACTCCGTGCCCAGCGGCACGGTGGCGGATTGCATCGACGCCGTCATTCCACCCATGGGAGCACAGGGGGAGGAGTTGGAACAACGAGGAAAATGTCGAGATTTCGCATCGCATCTGGGAGCTTCTCGCAAGATCACTCGGTTACGTGGCGCCGAAGACAGCCGTCCTTGGAGAGCAGAGTGCGGTGTCAATGGGTTCCAGAGGCAGGCCTGCAGTCCACCCGCAGAGTAAGGACGGGCAGCTCTGCCCCTTGGGCCACAAGACTTTTGGCCACGGGGCGCCATGAGCATAAACAACGAAGCGCCACAAAACGCCATACAACTCTACATTCGAAGAAGAACAAACGCCATAAACAGAAACTTTTGGCGCTCCGCGCGGATTTTTCGGTTCCGCACTGTGGCTCCCTGGCGGGCAGCGCCTCCGGCGCCGCCCCTGGCGCGCTCCGCGCATCAGGGGGGGGGAGGTCCAGCGCAGATCCAAGAAATCCACGCGGAGCGTCAACAGTTTCTGCCGTTTTTTCTTTTTCTATACAGTCCACCAGCATGGTAAGGATGGGCATGTTTGCCCCCTTGGCCCATCCTCAGCGACTTTCGCTGGCAAGCCTCGTTCGAAAAGCGCTCGCGTGGGCCTGCACGGCCCTTGCATCCTTACCGCGCATCCTCATGATATATGGGTTGACTGCCTTTTGACAGCCTCTGCGCTTCTTGACCTCCCCAGGGGCCCGACCCAGCGCCTGGATCACGAATCCCGCGCGGGGGCGACGCGAGGGCGCCCTGGAGCGCAGCGGCTCGAGGTCCTGCCGCACCACGCGCAGAATCAGTCTGACCAGATCAGGGTCACAGGCACAGGGAGGAGGAGGAGGAGGAGCGGAGGGGGAGGCGGAGGAGGAGCGAGGGGGAGGAGGAGCGGAGGGGGAGCATGGAGCGGAGGCGGAGGAGGAGGAGGAGGAGGAGGAGCGGAGGGGGAGGAGGAGCGGAAGGTGACCAGACAGAGGCGGAGGAGGAGCGGAGGGGGAGGATGGACGACGATGCCGACGGCGGCGGCGGTGCTGGCGCACCTCGGCGGCCACGGCGGCGGCAGCGGCGACGACGGTGCGGCCCGCGGCCAGGCGGCCCTCGTGGCGGCCTCGGCCGGGCTCACGTCGCACCCCCGCCGGCGCCCCGAGGGGACAGAGCGGCGACGACGACGACGACGACGACGACGACGACGACGACGACGACGACGACGACGGCGGCGGGAGCGTCCGGGGAGGCGCGTGTGGTGGCGGAGAGGGCGCCCGCGACCGGCGGGGCGAGAGAGAGCGAGAGGCCCAGAGGGCCAGAGGGGGGCTCTCTTCCTGGGAGCAAAAAAACAGACACAATTAATCGTTGATCCCCTGGAAAATATGGGAAAATATTGGAAAATGTTGGAAGTGGGGGGGGAAGACAAAAACCCAGAAAATATGAGAAAATATGGGGGATCGTTTCACTGAGGCATGTTCAATGAGGTCGGGCCGCCCCGATTGGGTCCAAGCAGGTGGGGCCTGTGGACCGCGCCGCATCGCCGCTACATCGGCGGTGCGGCTCGATGTGGAGTCAGGTGTTCTCCATTTCGATGCGCTGCCACGTCGGCGATGCAGCTCGTCCGGCCGCATCCAGCTGCTCGGACCACGTTTGTCCGCGCCCGGCTGCTGTCGCCGGGCTATGGCCAGAGCTGCGCGAGTCCGTTGGTGAACGATTGTTCCAGATCGAAGATCCCCCGCTCGGGCTCCTCGTCCTCCTCTGTGTCGACTGGACCGGCTGTCGACGTCTACAACGGCTCCGCTCCTGTCGGCGGAACGGCGCCCCGAGACTCAAGAACCCGAGACCTAGCTGAGTCTTTTTTTCTCCACAGGGCAGCAGGGAGGCGAAGGGCTCCGGGGCGCGCGTCGCAGAGTGGGAGCAAGGCAGCGGCCCTCCTCCTCCTCCTCCTCCTCCTCCTCCTCCTCCTCCTCCTGGTAGACCTCCTACGCTCGGGGGTGCCGTCCGCTGCTCACGCGGCGGGCTGGCCCAGGCTCAGGCTCTTGGCCGCGGCTGCAGCTACTGCTTCTGCCGCGACTGGCCTCCCAGCTCGCTCCCCCGTTGCGCCTTCGCGCACGGCTGCTCGAGTACCGTCGTGGTGTCATGTCTGGGTTGCGGCGTGGTCGCCGACCCCATTGGAGAGCGTTTGGGCACTCCCCTGCGACAACGTGCGTTGCCAGTCGGCGGCGTGTGAGGGGGGGAAGTGAGAACGAGAAGGCCTTCCCAGATTCTGGGAAGGCCTTCTCCTTCTCATTTCTTGGGCGAGTGGATTCGCTTCTTGCGCGGATCCCAAAATTCCAAACTTACTTTTGCGACATCGTCTTACGCATTTGTTCGCCAGCCATTCGAGGGGGCCGATCACGCTTGTCGGATTTGCCGGGGCTTCGACGTCGCTTGCCAGTGCCAGTGTGGAATCCAGACTTGCGCCTCACGAGTGGATTGGAGGATGAGCGCAAGATGAGTCTTTCAGCTGCGGGGGGGCGCGGGCGTTTGCCGCCACGCAGGGGCCAGGGCCAAATGGGAAACGCTCAGGGATATGAATGGCGGCAGGTAGAGGAAGAACGGGGGAGGGGGAGGGCAAAGTAGCGGGCGGGAGTGGGGAACGTAGTGACCAGGCGAGATGCTCTGATAGGGGGAACGATGTGGGCGGAGGCCGCAGTTGGAATTCCTTCGGATCGCCCTGGGACGTTCAGACACCTCCGCCCGGAGGCCGTCAAGGGGTTCAGCGGCCCTTGCCTTCCTGACTCTGCGGGCGGGGCGCGACGACGCACCCGACCTGTACCCCGTCCCTTTCCGCTAGGTGCCGGTCTGTCCGTGCTCGCCCCGCGCGAGGCATCCAGCACGTTCAGAATTACATTTAGCCAGGCATTGGGTGTAGTAATGTACGTGCTGGTTTCGCCGGAGACATCCTCACAAAACGGAGCATTTGTACAACTACACCTGGCCAGCGGGGCGGGGTGCACGTCGGGTGCCGCCACTCGCGCTCCCAACGTGTGCCGCGCCCTGGCCGCTAATTGCCGTTTTGTGCGTGTCCCATTTTTCTCGACGCATCGGCTGCCCGCGCTGCCCATCGCCGAGGCCCCGTCTCCTGGGCCGCTTCCCGCTGACATCCCGCATCCTCTGGCTCAGCGAAGCCAGCCGTATGCCCGGGGGCCTCGGCCTCGCGCAGCCCGCTCCCCTCCCCTGCCTGTGCCCCAGCAGCAAATCCGCGATCCCATCCCCCGAGCTTTCGAGTTCTTCTTCGTGCCAGATTCCCCGTCCGAGGGTGAAACGCTTGCTCGTGTTATGATGTGTCTTGCGGCTGCCGCCAAGCCTCCAAGCCTCGCCATGAAACATGGCGATCGCTGCCACGTTTGGCGCGCAACGTCGTCAGCACGACCATCGCTTTCCATCGTAGGTCGCGAAGTGATGTCCGTCCACCCAGACCGACCGACGAGCCGCATCTAATTACGATTGCCACCTCAGGTCTCCGCAACAAGATGCAGTTTTGTTGCGTGTAGTTGTAGATGTGTTCGACAGAAAACGGCGGGATTCTTCAGAAGCCCGCGCGCCTTCTGAAAAGTTTCTTCGCCTTCGGGGAAGGTGCAGGAAGCTTTTCGGAAGGCGTGGGGACCTCCGAACCTTCTGAGAAGTCCTTTTCCTTCTCACTTCCCCCCCTTCGTTCGCCACCGAACCAAGAGGGAGGGGCGCGGGAAGGCAACGTCAAGTTTCGCGCCAGCGCTGTTTAGGAATGTTTGGGAATAACCCAAGACAGCTCGGACGTCAGCACGAGCCGTGAACGTTACCTGTGTGGCGGAGGGGGTGCCAGGACCGGGGGCGGCCGGTATCACGAAAGAAAGCTCGAGAGTGCCATGTCCCGCTGCCATGCCGTCGAAAGCTTCGGGGCCCCCGAGCGCAAGGCTGGCGGTCCCCAGGCACGCTCGAGAGTGCCATGCTCGCTGTCCTGCCGTCGGCGCGAGCCGCCCGGCGCGCCGCCGCTGCCGGCTGTACCACCTGAAAGGCGCCGGGATCGCGTCCCACGCGCCGGGGGGTCGATCGGCCGCTGCAGTCACGCACGGACGACCACCGACCCTGGCAGAAGGGCCTGGTGGAGTTCAGAACAGGTGCCCATGCCATTACCTCCCCCTCGTCGTTTCTTCTTTTTGGGCCTCCAGGGAAACCCTCGCCGCCACCGCTGGATTTGCCTCGAAATCCTGGTCGGAGCGCCCCCTGGGAGAGGTCCAGGGAGTAGTGGCATCGGTGCCTTTTGGTTTCACGGTGCCTGAGTCGGAATCGTCGCCCCCGCGGCGCAAGGGTGTGGAGCCGTGCGCCCCGGGCGCCCATGGACGGCCTGCGAGTTGGGTCGAACCCGTGGGCCTGAGGAGCAGGAGGAGGAGGAGGAGGAGGAGGAGGAGGAGGAGGAAAAGGAGGAGGAACCGCAGCCGCAGGCGCTTGAGACGGGAGCAGGCAGCAGGGGCGAGGGAGGAGAGGGATGAGGAAGGGAGGGGCGGAGGGGAGCGAGAGAAGGGAGGGAATTAGGATGGGCGGGGGAGGGAGGCAATCCATGCGAGGGAAGGGAAACGGAGGGCAAGGACGCGGAGGGTGGGAGGAGGGAAGGGAAGCGAAAGGAGGGGGATGCTGGCATTTGCAAGTTCTGCTTCCCCTGGCTCAACCGTCTGCCTCCTACCCCCCCTCCCCTGCCCACAGTCCTGTGCGCCCCCTCATCCAATCCTCTTCCCTCCCCTTCTTCGTTTCGTTTCGTTCGAGGTAGTGCCGCAGCCCTGCACGCCGAGGAGCGTGTTCACTGCGTCCAGAAGCTTGCGACGCGCGCGCCTTCTCGGCTCTGGAATCGCAGTGCGAATCGGTGCACCACCACTGCCCTGTCTCACTCATCACTCTCGCTCCGCTCCACTGCCCCGTGCCCTCCTACACTGTCCCCCTTCCTGTTCCCCCCCCCCACACACACACAGACACACCTCATCTCTATTACCTCTGCGTCTCCCCGCCCCCCGATGTCCAAACAGGGCCAAACGCATGCAGAAACCTCGACCTCGATCCTCCTCCTCCGCCTCATCCTCCTCCTCCTTCTGCCCCTCCATTCTCTCTCTTCCATCCACCTCCTCTCTCCTCTCTCCTCGTCCTCTTCCTCCTCCTCCCCCTCCTCATCCTTCCTGTCCTCCTCCTCCTCCTCCTCATCATCATCATCATCCTCCTCATCCTCCACCCTTCCTCTCTTTCCTCCTCTATTCCTTCTCGTCATCCTCCTCCTCCTCTTCCCTTTCTCCTCCTCCTCCTCTTCCTCCTCCTCCTCTTCCTCCTCCTCCTCTTCCTCCTCCTCCTTTGTTCTCCCTCCATCTTCCCTCTTTCATCCTCCTACTCCCCCCCGTCCGCCGTGGAGGTTCGGCGGAAGTACGCAGTCAACTCTGCTGCTGCGTTTGCTAGGCCCGTTGGGAGGGGGGGTCAACGTCATGATGCTGCGCTACGTGTCTGCACGCCCATGTCTGATACCTCGCTGTGTGACACCGCCCACCCCTTTGAGGGGCGGCTCTGCAGGCGCGCAGGGCTCGACATGCCATAATGGTGGAGTGTGCTCCGAAGGAGGAGGAGGAGGAGGAGGAGGAGGAGGAGGGGGAGGAGGCGAGGAGGAGGAGGAGGAGGAGGAGGAGGAGGGGAAGGGGCGCTGAAGTTTTCACTGTCTTCGGCCTCCCGTCGCCGCCGCGTCGAGGCGGCGCGGACCTGCCGCACCGAGGCCCTCCCGGGACCCCAGGATTTCCTAGGAATCCTTGGGAATCCCCAGGACTCCCTAGGAATCAGGATTCCTGAGGATTCCTAAGGTTTCCCAAGGATTCCTATGGACTCTTACGGATGCCTACGGACGCCTTAGGAATCCCTTGGAGTCCTTAGGATTCCATTGGAGTGCCCGATGGGGCTGCCGGTGGCGACTCTGGGGGGGCTGCCTCCTGGGGACCTCCGGGCACGGCGAGGGCCCCTGACCACCAACAGGTGGCGCCCTCCATGGCAGCTTCCAGGAACGCTCGTACTTCACCACCCACCAAACCACCCCAACCCAACCCGAAGGCCCAAATTTATCCTCGATTTCCAGTGGGGGGGGGTCGGGGAACGTTGAAAAAACACATGGTATCCGTACCCCCCCCAACCCGAAATTCGGGTCAAATTTGGGTCTTCGGGTTGGGTTGGGGTGGTCTGGTAGGTAGTCAGTACTAACTGCCAGGGAGCGCTCATGGACACTTCCGACGTTCGGCAGGTCTGAGCCGACTCGAAGCGGCGGCGACGTGGGCGCGAGCGTTCAAGGTTGAGCACCGGCGGGGGCCCGTCTCGCGCCGTTGGGGCAGCACATTTCCGCGGCGCGGAACTCATGCGACAGTTTTTGGCCAGAGCCTCTGCGGGATTCCGAGAGTGCAGGTCGTTTGTTTATGTTGGGGCTTGCGTTAGTGCAGCGGGGACCTGCCTTAGGGAGCATTCCGAAGATCCCAAGGGTCACCACATAGCTTGAACCAGTCGGCGGTGAGCGAGGGGGGGGGGAGTGAGAAGGGGCCGCCCTTCTCAGAAGGCTCGGAAGTTCCCAGGCCATCTGTGAAGTTTTCTTTATGCCTTCCCCGAAGACACAGAGAACTTCTCAAAAGGCGCGAGGGTTTCTGAGAAGTCCCGCCGCCTTCTGAGAAGGCCTTCTCCTTCTCACTTCCCCCCCTCGCTCGCCGCCGAAGAAAGGCTTTCACCAGGCGCAGTGGGTAGGGCGGTACTGATGAATGTTGCTTCCGCCCCCCCGTCCAATCCCTCTCATGTCCCCACTTCAAGGGAGGAAAAGACACCCGGACCCGATCATTGGCGTTTATTTAACGGTCCTGAGCGTTTACTAAATACTAAACATCCCTGCCCTGCTCGATTCCACCCTTGGGTGCGTTCATTAAACGGCTTCGCGTGTCGGGCTGATTGTTATGAGGGTGGATTTTCTGGTCTCTACCCCATTCGCAGTGGGTAGTGGGGGTACAGATGAATGGTGTTTCCGATTCCCCGCCCAACTCCTCTCATGCCCCCAGGATTCGGGCTGTCCAGAAAAGTCGTCTGGCGGACCTCCCAGAATCTCCCAGGGAGTCTCGGGCTCCCCAGCGACCCGACTGTCTGAAACAGATCTCAGGCAGTTGATGTCGAAGGCTATCGTTTTCTGATTCATTGTTTCGCCGATCGGCGCGGGCCCTCGCCCCCCCCCCCCCTGGAGTAGATCTTTGGGTGTTTTTTTGGCGCCTGTTTCAAGCAGGTGGGGCTTCCCCGCTAGGACGGACTGGTGCAAACCGTCGCATTAAGCAGAGGTCCGGAGCCAGACCCCCTCTTCCCCCCTCTTCGCCCAATGACGAAGCGCCGAAGAAGGAAGCGTTCACCAGTTGATGTCGAAGGACAGCTTTGGCCAATCACCGTCCGACACGCAATTACTGAACCTGAGACTGTCGACCAACAAACAGATCGAGGCGGGAGGCGCTTGCATGGCGACAGCGCGCCGAACGTGTTCAGGGCACCCTCGCAGCCGACATTCGAGTTTCGCTTGTCCGCTGCAGATTTGCAGAGACAAGGGACAGCGCGCAAATGCCGGAGTATCCTGTTGTGGCTGTGGTGCCTTGGTCTTTCGGCAATCGGGGGGTAGCAGTTCAGCTGGTCAAGCGTTGCTGCCACAATGGCGCCCTCTTCCTCGGAAGAATAACAAGTGAGAAAATAACAGGGTAGATGCAAAAATACGTCTCATGTGGGTCCAGGAGATGGCGCGCAATAACATGTACTGTCCACAGATGAGATGGGAGAGCGGTATCGGGGAGGTCAACGCTTCCAGGCCAACACCTGCGTGGAGGCAGTCCTCTTCATGATGGTGCTACGCAGTCATTTGCTGAATTATGCTGTGCTGCAGACGGCAGAGCGCACTGTCGCGTAGATTGCCTTGTCAGAAGACCCGATGGAGAATCAGCAATTCCTAATCGTGTAATTGTCAGGGCTTCCCAAGCTCCGCTGAAGTAGCGGGCATGTGTTCATGTTAGGTGCATGAACCAGTTCCTAGGGATAGCATGCGTGGTTCCGTCCAGATTCGTACTAAAGAAGAACAGAGGATGTTCGTTCATTGTTCCCACCTTTTTAATTCCAGACGGGTTGCCCTGATCAGGGATGTGGAGGAACATGCAGTGGAATGAAGTTCTGGGTAAGACGTCCTACCCTAGGAAGGGGAGTATGGAGGAGGAGCCCGAGGAGGATGAGGAGGAGGAGAAGGAGGAGGAGGAGGAGGAGGAGGAGGAGGAGGAGGAGGAGGGAGGCCACCAGGGGGGTGCTTCGGTGCGTGGGCGGCGTATCGGGGCCCCCGGGGTGCAGTGAAATCCGCCTAGACGTCGCTTGTGGTGCCGCGGGCCACAGGGTCGGTGCCCTGTCGGGCCTTGGGCTTCATCCCTGGACCAGCTGGGGTGGTCCCCCAAAGTGGCCAGGTCTGCCGTTTCAGGTCCCAAGGGGACCGGGCCTCTGGATGCCGCGAGGGCACCCGCCCCTGGGTCGTCGCAATCCCGTCTTTCGCGATGTGTGCACGTCGGCCTCATGGTACCTGCCCGGATTGGGGGCAGGCTCTGGCCACTGTTGTTGCCTGCCCGCCACGTTGCGGTGTCAGGTGTGGTCAGGGGGGTCGGCCAGTTGGGCGCGGCTCACACGGGTCAGACCAGTGATTTTGGTCTTCTCGCCGAGGCCTCTTGGGGCGTCCTTGGTGCCTCTTGGGGGGCCTCTCGGGGCCTGTTGGGGATCTCTTGGGTGCCTTTTCGGGTCTCCCCTGCCAGGAGGCCAAAATGTTGCGAGCACGCAAGTCGCATCAATAATACGCTCTCGCCGCTCTCGACCCCCCCCCCTTCACGTCCAGGGGCGGGGGGGGGAGGGGGAGTACAAACCCTTCCCCGAAGGGGAAGGATGGGGGTTGGAAGAGGACGCGCCCTAAATTTCATTTCCCGCGCCCGACAGGGCTGGTGGGATTATGAAGAGGAGCTACCGCAGATCTGAAAAGTGCGCAGTTCCATTCACGCGGCTTGTGCATCCGCAGTGCGTACGCCCCAAACAGAGTATAACGTATGCCAGAACATGGTTGGTAGGCAGTGTGATAGGCGTATTATAGCACTGACGGCTACCCTGGCTTTGGAGGACGGCCACAAGTCGAGGGAGGAATATCCACTCCGACCTTCGGAACGCTGGTTTAAAAGGCAGTCCTGCGCGGGGACTACACAGTCCTGTCTTGTTCGGTTCATTATGTAGGCGCGTTTCGTGAAGACGCTCTTGTGTAGGGGTGATCAATATCCGGATGGTGAGCAGGTTTCGTTCCGTGTTGCCGGCCAGCGTCGAACAGACGGTCATGTCGCAGGTATCCCCAGCAGGGTCGTGGTGCCGTACGCAGCGAAGGCAGCGGTTCGTCATCGGGGTGGCGCATTTGTTGTACACAGCCTCTAGGGCAGATCTTCGGCGGATTCTGCCAAGCTCATGTGCAGGATCGCCCTTTCGGTTTATGAGACACTTGCGTATCGGCCGCCTCTCGATTCGCCCATTCTCCCGACCCGTTGCGTTTCTAACTCGTCCTTGGCCCCGTGGCGTCAGCGAGCCTGCACGTAACATGGCGAGCGGAAGGTCTATCGGGCGGGGCCGTATAGCCGAGCTGTTCGTGGATGGTTTTGTTTTCCCTCCTGCCCTCCCTCCCTCCCTCCTCCCTCACCTTTCCTCCTCCTCATCCTCCTCGTCCTCCTCCTCCTCCTCCTCCTCCTCCTCCTCCTCCTCCTCCTCCTCTCCCTCCTCCTCCTCTCCCTCTCCCTCCTCCTCCTCCTCCTCCTCCTCCTCCTCCTCCTCCTCCTCCTCTTGCCCTTGCGAGACTGCCGTCCTGCCGCCTGCCTCCGCGCGGCGCGGCTGCGGCGAGAACTCGTCGCCCCCGCCCTTCCGATCTGAGCCTCAGGCGAGCCCCTGGGCAACGATAGCCGCGTCTCGCGCGGGTCGGGCCAGGCCACGGGTCGGCGCCAGAGCGGAGGGCGACCTGGTGGGCGGTCAGTTTTGCAGAGATTGCCCGGCCTCCACCTTCGCAGTGCCGGGGGTGGGTTTTGCCAGAGGTGGAGCCCACCACGGCGGAGGAGTTCAGGCGTCGGCGTTGCAGTGTGTTAGTTCCCCAGGGCCCCGGCGTGACACAACGCGCGGAAGCGCCCGCCTGGGAAGGTCCGTGGAGGGAAGAATGGTTCTGGCACGGCAGTTGCTGCCTCTGGTCCTTCCAAGCAGTGTGTGCTGCTCCGCGAGTCAGGGGAAAAGAGGCACATGCAGAAGCCCGCCAACGACGACGAGCGCGCCGGCTGTCGGAGGTGGACGATTAAGGAATTGACCGTTTTCGGTTCGCGAGAGGGCGTCGCGGCCGTCATTTTTGCGGGTCCAGGTCCGTCGGTTTCGGTCCCAGGCCGTTTTCACTAAGGGGAGGTTTACTAAAGGGACCAAGGGAGGTTTGTCTACCGCCGAGGCTGGAGGCCAGGCCTGGCGGGACGAGGCAGGCGGGTGGACAGGCGGTAAGCGGCGGGGGTCGAAGTAGAAAGAACGCCTTGGGCATGAAATTGGAGCGCTCCGCACGGCAGCGCCTCCGGCGCCGTCCCTGGCGCGCTCCGCGTGCCAGGGTTGGGGGTCCAGCCCAGATCCAAGAAATCTGCGCGGAGCGCCGAATTTGTATGTTTATGCAGTTTTTCTTCCAGGGAGGGAGCCCATCGTGATGTCGTTGTTCATTTTTTACATGTGTTGATGTAGTTGTTATAATTATTGTTTCTTGTTGGTTTGATGTCGCGTCGTTTATTAGTATCAGTGTTTTTAATGTCGTGTTTGTTTTTCTCTTGATTCCGTGTTTCTTATTAGTATCATGCATGATCTTAATTGACATCGTTGTTAGTTTTGGTATTCGTATTGTTCGCTCTCTTCTTCTCATTCGTATGTTTCGTACTACTTGTTCTTCTTCTCCCTCGTTGTTCTCTGCCTCGGATTTCCCACCCCCTGGCGTTGCCCAGCGCCCCGCCGCCCGAGGCCGAGCAGCGGAGGTTCATCTGGCAGGACCCGTCGCCGCACCTGTGGGCGCGCGGCCGCCGCCCCCGTGGGCGAGAGGGCGTCCTGTCGGAAGGTGATGGGGCACTTTTCCACCACCACCACAGGACCACAGGTAGGGCAGGGGAGAAGGGAGGATGGGGAGGTCCTCCTCCTCCTCCTCCGCCTCCTCCCCCTCCTCATCCTCCTCCGCCTCCTCCTCCTCCGCCTCCTCCTCCGCCTCCTCCTCCTCCGCCTCCTCCTCCGCCTCCTTCCTCCTCCTCCTCCTCCTCCTCCTCGTCCTCCTCCTCCTCCTCCTCCTCCTCCCTCTCCTACTTATGGCAGAGGTGGTGGAAGATCGGCGCGCGGGGCTGCACGGGCGCCGGCAAGGACCCCGGCCAGGCCAACTGCTGGGCCCCTGGATGGATGCTTGGTCGGTCGTCCCCCTGCCTGGCCCGCAGCCGCGCGACGATCTCGCCAGGGGTACAGCGAGTCCTCAGGTTTTTCGCCGCGTTCGGGCCCTTGGGGCCCTCCACGGGCCCCATGACTCTCAGAAATCGCCTCCTCCTGAGGGAGCGCATTGCTGTCCAGGACCTGCTTCCCTCAGGACCCGTTTCCCCCCCATGCTAGCGTTAAGTCGGGCGTGTCCTTCTACAAGAGGAGTATTCGGAGATAGTCAACATATAGTCTGGGGGCGATGTTTCGATCATGTTTTCTTTTTTTGTTTTTTACCTCTTGTCCAAAAGTCCTCCTCCTCCTCCCTCCTCCTCCTCCTCCTCCTCCTCCTCCTCCTCCCCCTCCTCAATCCCGCCCAGCGCGCCCCCGATGCCGGAGTCCCGCGCACCCTGCGGCCGGTGCGCGCTCCCGGGGCCCCGCCCCTCGGCAACGACGGCGCGCGCGCGCGAACCCCGGCGGCCACAGAGAGCTCATGTTCAGGAGGGGCAGAAGCACGCAGACACAACTACTCGTCGATTCCCAAGAAAATATAGAAAATATGAGAAGTGGGGGGGAAGAAAGAAACCCAGAAAATATGAGGAAACATGGGGAGTCCTTTTATTTGTGAGTATTTTTGTGTGTGACCCAGGGCCCCTTCACATGTGGGCTCCTCGGCCGTTCTCAGGTGGTCTGCCTCCTCGCGTCTGTGTCTGCATTGAGTCGGGGGCGACCTAGAGGGGGTGATGACTAGGCGGGGGGCGGATGTCGTGGTGGGGGCCATGATATTTCCTCAGATTTCATGGCGCCTCTTCTTATCCGTAAGGGCTTCGCCCCCTGCCGCCGGCCCCCTATCTCGGAGAATGCGCTATGCGAGAGCTATGTCATGAGGCCTGGGCGCCGTCGTGAAGCAGTATCGGAACTTCATGCGAGGCCGATTCATAATCGGCAAAACCAAATGATTTGTCTGGTGAGCCTGACCCCGCCGATCTGCATGAGGGGGGCCGCCGAATTTCAGAAATGTGGCAAATCCCGTGTGTTTTTGGACCCTGACCCTGCCGATCTGCCTGAGGGGGTGCCGCCGAATTTCAGAAATGTGACGAATCCTCGTGTTTTTGGACCCTGACCCCGCCGATCTGCCTAAGGGGTGCCAGCGAATTTCAGAAATGTGGCAAATCCCTATGGTTTTGGACCCTGACCCCGCCGATCTGCATGAGGTGTGCCACCGAATGTCAGAAATGTGGCAAATCCGATGTGTTTTTGGACCCTGACCCCGCCGATCTGCATGAGGGGTGCCACCGAATTTCAGAAATGTGGCAAATCCGATGTGTTTTTGGACCCCGGCCCCGCCGATCTGCATGAGGGGTGCGACCGAATTTCAGAAATGTGGCAAATCCGATGTGTTTTTGGACCCCGGCCCCGCCGATCTGCGTAAGGGGTGCCAGCGAAGTTAAGAAATGTGGCAAATCCCTTGTGTTTTTGCACCCTGGCCTCGCCGATCTGAGTGAGGGGTGCCGCCGAATTACGAAATGTGGCAAATCCCTTTTGTTTTTTGATCCTGACCCCGCCGATATGCGTGAGGTGTGCCAGCGAATTTCAGAAATGTGGTAAATCCTTTGTGTTTTTGGACCCTGACCCTGCCGATCTGCGTGAGGGGTGTCAATTTTTACCAACCCAAGTAAATCAGAGCACACGCTCAGGGCGTGCTAAACCTTCCCGTTTCGGGCCTCCCCCCTCGCGCGGTCCATCAACAAGGAACAGTAAGCGGCAAGAAGCAGATCTGTAACAGTGGAAACTGGAAGCTGCAACTGGCACAGGAAACTGCGAAGCTTCGGCCTACAGTCTGGTGGCCCTACAAGGGGGCCGGCGGATTTCATTACGTCCCCGCCCTCCCCTGGGTTTGCACGCTCCGCCGGCCATGATTTGCGCCCAACCCTCTTGGACGCTCCCCACTTGGCCGCCCACGATTGAGAGCGCGCGTTGTCATCGAGAATCTGTGCCCTTGACCAGGCGGATCGGAGTTGGAGAGGCCAGGGCCGACTGCCACTGTGCCAGCGTGGTCCACCGTCGGTATCAGTTCGGGCCATGCTCTGAGGGTCAAAGGTCTAGAGTCCTAGACCTTTTTGGCGACTGGAGCGTAGCTTCTTGCCGTGTCCGGTCTTTCCCCAGGCCAGTGCTTGCATTGAAGGTTTTTCAGAACCCCGAATCATCAGGGGTAAGTCGGGTCAGGGCTAACTCAGGTTCCTTTTTCGGGAATCTAAACCCGAGTTATCCCGGACCCGAGTTACCCCGGATAACTCGGGCGTCCAGAGCTCCGAATCATCAGGGGTAAGTCGGGTCAGGTTCCTTATTCGGGAATCCAAACCCGAGTTACCCCGGACCCGAGTTACCCCGGATAACTCGGGCGTCCAGAGCCCCGAATCTTCAGGGGTAATTCGGGTCAGGGCTAACTCGGGTTCCTTATTCGGGAATCCAAACCCGAGTTACCCCGGACCCGAGTTACCCCGGATAACTCGGGCGTCCAGAGCCCCGAATCATCAGGGGTAACTCGGGTCAGGGCTAACTCGGGTTCCTTTTTCGGGAATCCAAACCCGAGTTACCCCGGACCCGAGTTACCCGGATAACTCGGGCGTCCAGAGCCCCGAATCATCAGGGGTAACTCGGGTCAGGGCTAACTCGGGTTCTTTTTCGGGAATCCAACCCGAGTTACCCCGGACCCGAGTTACCCGGATAACTCGGGCGTCCAGAGCCCCGAATCATCAGGGGTAATTCGGGTCAGGGCTAACTCGGGTTCCTTTTTCGGGAATCCAAACCCGAGTTACCCCAGACCCGAGTTACCCCGGATAACTCGGGCGTCCAGAGCCCCGAATCATCAGGGGTAACTCGGGTCAGGGCTAACTCGGGTTCCTTTTTCGGGAATCCAAACCCGAGTTACCCCGGACCCGAGTTACCCCTGATAACTCGGGCGTCCAGAGCCCCGAATCATCAGGGGTAAGTCGGGTCAGGGCTAACTCGGGTTCCTTATTCGGGAATCCAAACCCGAGTTACCCCGGACCCGAGTTACCCGGGATAACTCGGGCGTCCAGAGCCCCGAATCATCAGGGGTAACTCGGGTCAGGGCTAACTCGGGTTCCTTATTCGGGAATCCAAACCCAAGTTACATACCCCGGACCCGAGTTACCCCGGATAACTCGGGCGTCCAGAGCCCCGAATCATCATGGGTAAGTCGGGTCAGGGCTAACTCGGGTTCCTTTTTCGGGAATCCAAGCCCGAGTTACCCCAGAGCCGAGTTACCCCTGATAACTCGGGCGCCCATGTTTTTGTATCTTTTCTTAATAATTCGATGGGTACCTCGAGGTTTCGGCTGTCTCCTGAGGGGTAGGCGCCCATGGGCGCCTCGTGGGCGACTCGTGTGCCGGCTGTTTATGTCGAGGTTCTGCCTGGTGCAGGAGGGAAAGAAACACACAGACACAGTTAATCGTCGACTCCCAGGAGATCTGGGCACATCTGGGAAGTGGGAGGGAAGACGAGAATCAATGCAAGATGCGTACACCAAGAAATCGAGAGTCCTGGGATTTGTGTGTGTCATTTTCTGTGTGTCCCTGGGCCCCTTCACGCTGGTGCCCGCCGGTGGACGACGCCCCGCAGACGGCTCGTGCGCGGGGGGGGAGGGCCTATTATATGCCGAGGTGTCGGTTGGTGTGCCCGGCCGCCCGTGGGCGCCGCGTGGGCGCCCACAGGAGCCTGCACCACGCAGATTGCACCACGCAGACTGTACAAGGTAGCGTGCACCGCGTATCTTTCACGACTTGTTCAGTCGTCGCAGTGTACTGACTGGCCGCCTCCCTGGCCACATCCTAGTACGACCCTCGCGTCATGTTGGCTGCGCCCCAGCTTCGGTTGGCTAATTTGCATGTGCGCTCCCCTGGACCAGATCCCTGGCAGCTGCAGCCTGCACCCCCCTCGCGCCGGCCCGCCCGCCGAGGCGCTGCCTGAGGTCGCCGGCCCCTCGGCGTTAAGCAATTCGGCTCTTGCGCAGCCCGCTCGGACCTGACTCGCCGCTGGCGCCCTCGCCTGCGACAAAATAAGCTCACATCACAGCTTACATCGGAGGTTGATAGACCTACTCTGACACGTCGATTAGCGAATGTTCTGTTTTCGGTTTGCGAGAGCGGCCGTCCTTTTTGCGGGTCCAGGTCCGTCGGTTTCGGTCTTCGGCCGTTTTCACTAAACGGTGGTTTATGAAAGGGAGGTTTGGCCATTGCCGATGCACCACGCAGACTGCACAACATAGCGTGCACAGCATGGCGTTCACCACATAGCTTACCCCGCAGCTTGCACCACATACAACTAGCACCACGTAAGTAGCACAGCCTACCTAGTTTACTCTGCATCACTTGTACCATATAGCCTGCACCACACGGTTGCGCCATATGGCTTGCACATCCACGGTGCAAACACGTACCACTGGGGGTCCACGTTGGTTGGCATCATTTGTTTGTTGTTTTCAGGGCCTTGAGGCCGCTTCCGGGACTCCCAAATCAACCAATTATACAAGATGAACCGCCGGTGGTGGAGAACGGGCCGAGAGTTGTGTGGATTGGCGACTCGACGCACATTGAGGCGTCAGAAATTTGGATAGTGAGGGGCATTGATTGCCAAAGTTGCTTGCCTTCTAATTACGTGTTCGCTTCTCTCACTCACATGTTATGATTTCCCCGATGGCATGCGCTATCGTCAGGCGTCGCTGGGCGTCATGCTGGCCGTGGGCATACACCTCTGGACCAAGAGAGGGAGAGAGAGAGAGGGTAGTAGGATGAGCAAGACTATGGAGGCGCAGGCTGAAAGGTGCACACGCCGGTGACGAGAACGATGATGAGGAGCCTATTTGTGAGTCGACGGTTCGATTCGAATGGTTTGTTGGATCATCACGCGGTTGTTTAGCAGTGCCCGTAGTACCCACGCGTCGCAAGGATTGTTCAGCAGTTGGTTCTTGTTTTTTTACACGGGGTTGTGATAAGTCGAGCTGAGAGATGAGAGGGTAGGCGTTTGTTCGGATTGATCGCGTATGACGTATGATGTTTCTTTGGTCCAGAGCGTTCCCCTTGCTTTCGGTCTCCGCGCTCCCTTTCCTCCTCCCCCTTCCGCCCCCTCACATTCTTCCACCGTAGCCCTAGTCTTTGGCCAAGGGGGCAAGGGTATTTGGCTGGTAGTGTTTCAGGCCAGGGCAGTGAGGATGTGTCGTTGATAATTTTGGCCAGGGGGGTGAGGATAGTTAGCTTGCATGTTCATGGCTGCGCTGCCAGTTTCGTGCCAGGGGTTGAAGATGTTTTGCTGGCAGCTTTCGGCCAGGTTGGTGAGGACACGTCGCTGGCACTTTCAGTCCAGGGGGTGAGGATATTTCGCTTGCAGTTCTTAGCCAGAGTGGAGGGGGGGGGAGGACATTCCGCTGCCGGTTTTGGGCCATGGGGTAAGGATCTTTGGCTTGCTCTGGGCTAGCGGGGTGAGGATTACTCGCTGTCGCCCAGACGCGGCCCGATGCGGCACGGTCGGACCGAGGTATCAGATCGAGGTCGGTTCGGGGAGGGTACCCAAATACTCTTCGCGCGTGTTGGATGGTTTTGTGCATCCCTCGAGTGTTCTTCCGTTTGGGCGGGCGGAGGGCCTCATGTTCTTGAAGGATGCCCCCCTCTGTCTCAGGTCTGGCATTATCGGCACCTCGCCTGGCAGGGCTGAGCTAAAACGCTGTTTTGCTGGACGTCTGCTGCGCTTTGTTTGTCGTTTAGACAGGGCGGTACAGGAAGCAGGTAGAGCGAATCGAAACAACACAACGAACACATCGAACAATAACGCTTAGGGTCCAGCCCCGTCGCCTGGTGGGCCTGGCCGAGGGGCCACGCGATCCGCGAGGTGCGCTGCGCGCCTCTGCAGTCAATGCTCGCCCCTTTGCACATCGGGCCGCTCGGGGGCCGAGGGGCGAGCTGTCTGGCGAGTGGTAGATCATGCTGGTTCGTTCTCGCCAGCTTTTTTGTTGGCACCAGTGAGGTACGCTGTTACGTGCTCAGGATTTCCCCTATCAAAAAGGCTGTGGTCTGATTTTGTGCGAGTGTGTCTAGTTTTGAGCTGTCTTGGAGGGTTCCACGGGGTCTAGGCAACAGGCCGCCATTTCACAGCTGGTCTGGGGGTTTGAAATTGCTCGTCCGGCGGGGTCGTGACATTTTCTTGTCCATTCCAACAGTTTGAATCGATCCCGCTGATTCCTGAACTTGTTCGGTTTGTCCTGTGCAATGCTGCTATCCTGTCTCTACATCTCTGTGTGTCGCGCGAGACTGCTCAAAGGAGTGGGGCGTGTGAGAATCGTCAAGCACGGCGCGTGCATGAAATCTTCAATGATGTGGTGGCAGCAACAGGGTGGTTTGCGTTGCCACACGCGCAGCCGCCCGCACAGGGCGCGCTTCCGCGCATGCTGCGGCCATGACCCTCTCCTTGACCCTCATCATCCGTCCTCTTCTCCCCCCTTCCCCTCGCACCCCAGACGACCAGATTGTTCCGAGCCGCCGGACACAGAGAAACGATGTATCGTCCTGGCTGGTGGCTGGCCTTGTTTGTTTACCGCCCCAAGGGCCCGCAGGCGGACCCCAGAGGCCGAAGAAGCTGACATACCTCTGTGCACGTTTTGTTCCCGAGCCGCAGGGGGCCCCAGGGATGCCGACGCCGCCGCCGCCGCCTGCGACGACGACGACGAGTTCTGTGCTTGGTGCTGCGCTGCCGTGACGGAAATCTCAGACGATGAGGCCACATACAGTGGGAGCGCGCATCTAGAAGTTTGATGTCTTCTGTCAGGGTGCCCTGGGTTTCTTCGCTCCGCGCGCTGCGCGTTGCCTTCCCGCAGCCGTTGAAGGAGCTGCTGCGTTCAGGGTGCCCTGGTCCCCCCCCTACTTGCATCTCGCGCCTGCGGGTGTCAGGGCTTGGTTCCTTGCGAGAGTCTTGTTGCGGCCGCGCCCGCACAGTAATGCGAACAACAGTTCCTTCGCAAGGATTTTGCAGACGACGAGACGACGACGACGACGACGACGACGACGACGACGACGACGACGACGACGACGAGACGGCGAAGAGATTTGGGCCCTCTGCCGCGCTGCCGCGGCTCCTCCAGCCGCCCCCTTCCCCCTGGCAGACACTCTCGGGTTGCCCTGGAGGAGGCCCCCGGAGATCTCCGGGTGTCACTCAAGGATGCCCCCGGAGAAGGGGGCAGGGAGGAGAAGGAGGCGGAGGAGGAGGAGGAGGAGGAGGAGGAGGAGGAAGAGGAGGAGGAGGAGGAGGACGATGATGATGAGGAGGAGGAGGAGGAGGAGGGGGAGGAGGAGAAGCCTCTCGACGTCTCGAGGACCTCAGGGCGAGCTCCTCGGCCATCGTTCTGCCTGCCGCGCGCCCGCGCAGGACGGGCAGGCTGCTCGACGGCTGCTGGTGGGCAGCGCCGCGGGGGCGTCGCCTTCGCTGGAGTGGTCGTCGTCGACGCCGTCCTCTTCGTCTTCTTCCTCTGCTCCCTCTTCTCAGGGTCCCTGGAGACCACAGTGCACATGAGGGTCTGGATGCGTATGTATGGTTGTGAATGTTTATTTATGTATAGATGTGAGTATATTTGTGCGTGCTGATACGCATCCATGCACATGCAGATCCCTCTTTCTCTCTATATTGATATGTTTCTCTTCCTCTCTATCTAATTTTTTTGTCGCTCCCTCTGTCTGTGTCTCTCTTTCTCTTGTCGCTCCCCCTCCCTTGGTCTCTCTCTATCTCTCTCTCCCTCTCTCCCTCTCCCCTGCCAGGTGGCGATGGGCCGTGGCACTGAACTCGGCCTTGTTCACCGTGCACGCGGTCGCTCTCCGCGGCTGCATCCAACCTTATCCTGCCATATTCGCCGTGAGTTCTCATGTTTCCTGGCTGCGCACGAGGACGGGTGGGGCGAAGGGGGCGCCTCCCTTACAGTCGTGGACGGCAGGAGGTCTTCTGAGAGGCGAGCCCCTCTCGGAATCCCCCACCTCGCCCACTCCTGCTTCGGCGTGTCTCCAAAGTTCATCGTGCATCCTGCCGCCAGCCCCTGTCAGCACTGCCCAACCCCAGCACCACGCAGGGATCTCGAAGGGCGGTGCTGATCTGTATCTGTGGTACGCGCTGCATCGAAGGTCAACATGTGTTCGTGTCTGTCTGCTGTCTCCCTTCTTCCTGCTGCCCCCCGTGTCGCTTCGATCTGTTGAGATCGGCCCCGCTTCCAGCAGCTCAGAGCAGGCCAGTTTGCATCCCCTGATACGGTTCTTCCCAAGTTGTTTCCCAAGAGGCCATGGCCTCCCCCACCAGGTTTCAAGCAGGCCCGGACCACTGTCCGCAGAGGTGGTTCGTTCGTTCGTTCCCTGTGTTCCCCTTCTTTCCTCGTGCAGTTTGTTCAGGATGGAGGGAGGCACGGGCGCATGAGGAAAGAGACTCTAGCTCTCGCTTTGCACTTGGTATGCAGCACGACCAACGCAGTCCCACCCAGGCTCCCAACACGTGGGGGAAAGGCCCCGCTGGCTCCCGCCCAGTGAAGCTTGGCAATAGCACCTTGTTGCAGGCACTGTGTCCCCTCGCCTCCTTCCCGATTCCCATGTATCGCCTCCCTCCGTCCCCTTCTGTAGACATCACCCCTGCAGCCTCCTTTCCCCCTCCTCCTCCTCCTCCTCCTCCTCCTTCTCCTTCTCCTCCTCCTCCTCCTCCTCCTCCTCCTCCTCCTCCTCCTGCCTCCTCCTTACGCCTCCTCCTCCTGATCGCACAGAATTGATGTAGACGAGAGCTCCGCGCCCGTTTGGTACAACAAACAGGCGTGGCACACACGCGGGGGCAGACATGTTGTTGATCACAGTGTGTGGGCAAGAGGGGCATGCGAGATGCGTTGTCCTCGTACGTTTGGGCCTCTGTTTGCCGAATTCTTATCGTCACACTATAGGAAGCATCTGCAAGTGAGGCTAGGGGGTCCAGTGCCACCACTTACTGATATAGGGTTGTAATGTCTTGGCAACTTGGCTTTCGTGCGAAGACAACGCACCAGGGGCCATTACAGCGCAAGTCCGATGTGCAAGGCGAGCCAATCGGTTAGTCGTTTCATAAACGAATACTGCTGACCCCTTTAACATTTTTGATTCAATCAACTTTGAAACAAGCATCCATGGATCAATATTAGTGGGCACTTGTTTGATTCGATTCAGTGTTATATATATATATATATATACATATATATATATATATATGTATACCGGGGGGCCCGGTCCGGGGGGGCCCGCCCAGGGACCTCGCCAGCGCATGGGGGGCCCGGGGCCTCACTTTCCCTGTGTTTTTTTTACAGGGTTTTGGCGATTTGGAGCAAACCTGGGCTCCAAGAGACCCCCTCGTCGCTCCAAGAAGCTGTGGCGGCCCTTGAGATAGCACAAAAACGGCCCAAGAGGCCTGCTAGCGAGTCCCAAGATGCCAGGAGCGGCACCAGATACCACCAAGATGGCGCAAGGAACGGTCTCTGAGAGCCTCGAATCCAACTCCCCGGCGAGGAGTTCGCATTCGGAGTCCCGCATGAGCCGTCCTGGGGCCCCGGACGGCCCATAACAGAGCCCTGGAAGCCTCAAAGACGGCCAAGGCGGCCCCACGAACGCCCAGACTCGCTCCAAGGTGACACGTACCAATAGTCGCTGAGCGCGTTGATTCCAACTCCCTGGCGAGGAGTTGGATCTTGGAGCCCTCCATGAATCGCCTTGGGGCCGAAGACGGCCCGTAAGACAGCCATGGGTTGCTCAAAAACGGGCAAGGCTACTCTACGAACAGCCCAAGATAGCTCCAGAATGGCTTCAAGATGGCCGAACGAAGCGAGAAGTTGGATTTCGGAGTTGTCCTTGAATCGCCTTCGGGGCACAGGTGGGCCGTGAGGCAGCCTGGAAACCCGAAAGTCTGCCAAGACGGAACGGCGCCAGATATCACCAAGATGACCAAACAACACACAAACGGGCTCTGCGAGCCTCGATTCCAACTCCCCGGCGAGGAGTTGGCTTTCGGAGTCCCGCATGAGCCGTCTTGGGGCCCCGGCCGGCCCATAACACAGCCCTGGAAGCCTCAAAGACGGCCAAGGCGGCCCCACGAACGAGTCCTCCCTGGGGCTCCTGGAGGCACTCGCGGTGCTCAACGGTGACACGCCCAACCCGACAACCGCATCGGCTGATCGCGAACATTCATGCGCCGCATCTGGGTAGAACGTGGTCCAGAATCACGACACTGTGACTGAAGCAACTTCGTCCTCTGATTCGAAAAGGGCACCCCATGGGAGACCAGCTGCAACTCCAGGGGCCGCGGTGTGCGCATGAACCCGGGCTGCCTTCGTTAGGAGGCCACGGGGGCAGCATGACGCGGAGGAGGGGGAGGGGGAGGACGAGGAAGACGAAGAGAAGGAGGAGGAGCAGGAGGGGGAGAAGCAGGAGGGGAGCAACAGGAGTAGAAAGGCGGGGAGGGGGGGGGGCAGGAGGAGGAGGAGGAGGAGGAGGAGAAGCAGAAACAGCAGAAACAGCAGAAGAAGAGGAGGCGCAGAAGGAGGAAAAGGAGGAGGAGGAGGAGGAGGAGGAGGAGGAGGAGGAGGAGGAGGCGGAGGAGGCCATGGAACGGGGGCAAGGGGGGCCCAGAGTTGCCAGCAGAGGGGCTTTTCGGGGAGGCCTTCTCCAGGGAGGCCTCCTCCAGGGGGCCTCCAGGGGGGTCTCCAGGGAAGCCTCCAGGAGGAGGAGGAAAAGAAAGGAAGAGGATGAGGAGGAGGAGGAAGAGGAAGAGGAGGAAAAGGAGGAGGAGAAGGAACCTCCATCTCCTCCTGCTGCTGTTGCTGCTGCTGCTGTTGCTGCTGCTGCTGCTGCTGCTGCTGCTTCTGCTGCTGCTCCTCCTCCTCATCCTGCTCCTCCTCCTCATCCTGCTTCTCGTCCTCCTCCTCCTCCTCCTCCTCCTCCTCCTCCTCCCCCTCCTCTTCCTCCTCCCCCTCCCCCCCCCCCCCCATGGCGAACAGCGACCGCCGGCCTCGGCCGTGCGAAGCAGGCGGGCGGAGCCAGCATCCACGAAAGCACCTCCAGGGGAGAAGTGTCTCCCAGGGGGGGGGGCCTCCAGGGGGGCACCCAGGGAAAGCAGGAGGAGGAGGAGGAGGAGGAGGAGGGGGAGGAGGAGGAGGAGGAGGAGGAGGAGGAGGAGGAGGAGGAGGAGGAGGAGGAGGAGGGGGGGAAGAGCTATCTTGGGCTGTTGCTGGAATAGCCTTGGCCGTGTTTGAGCAGTGCAAGGCTGTCTTACGGGCTGTCTTGGGCCCCAAGACGATTCATGGAGGACCCCAAGACGGTTCCAAACGGCGTAAGACGGGACAGGAACGCCCTAAGACGGCCAAAGAGACCCCAAGAAGCCCACAAAGGCCCCCAAGAGGCCCCAGGAGGCCCCCGATATGCTTCCAAGAGGCCTCGCACAGGCCCCCAAGTAGCTCCCAACAGACCCCAAGGGTGCCCCAAGAGACCCCTAACAACCCTCATCCTCCTACTTTTCCGCTTCCTCTCATCCTGTTCCTGTTCATTCTCCCCCAAGGGCAGCGTTTCCCGAAAGCATTCAAAACCGATTCGGGAAACTCATGCTCCGATAGCTTGGCCAAGCTGTAGCCCAAATTTCGGCCACATCGGCGTTTCCAGAAAGGCAGGGGGCGGCGGTGATTCGCCGTAGGCGTCTTCGATAAAAATAGAAAGGGATAGTGAATGATTGGGTATCCAGGGCATTCAGATATGTTTTCACCGTTTCAGTACTACGCATACTCCGTTGTCCGAGCCGCCTGCGCAACGCCGCCTGGCGAATCGCCTCTGACCGGCTGCTTGCGTAAATGATTCTCCGCGCAAATGCACTGAGACGATCAATATCGGTGGCGCAGGCCAATGCACTGTCAAGAGCACCTGTCGCGGTACTATCGCATCTGGGTTCCCATTTGCAGGTCCGGTGCATGGCAGTGCCGGGATGCCACGCACCCATGTGATCTAAAACGCCTGCGCCCATGTCTCGCGAAACAAACGCTTGCGCCGTTCTTAGCAAAAGGGGCCCTCCATCTGCTGCCCGTGCTTTGTCACAATTTTGTTTTGCGCGTTCCCACAATGGCACACAATCTGCACACACTACAGGAAACCCTCCTTTCCCGAACCTGTTGGCCACAAGGCCTCTCATGGCCTCGTTCGGCATGAACTCTACGAAATTATGAACCTGACTATAATTTTCTGACTCCTTGCATTGAAAACACTTTAAGCCGAGGTTTCTATAACTGGCAACCGGAAGAGGCGTGTCCAAAGCAGCCGCGGGGCGCTTGCTTGTAGGTTTTTCCCCTTGACGTGTGAGAACCCCAGTTTCGGCCGTCTTTCCCTCCAAGGCGGTTCGTGGACAACTCTGAAATCCAACTCTGCTGGGGGGCGGGGATCGGAACCCTGAGAGACTACTCGCTCGGCCCCATGGAAGCACTGTTGGAGCTATTTTGGGCTGTTGCTGGAATGGCCTTGGCCGCGTTTGAGCTGCGTAAGGCTGTCTTACGGGTTGTCTCGGGCCCCAAGGCGACTCATGGAGGACCCCAAAATGCAACTCCTCGCTGGGGAGTTAGATTTGGCGCGTTCAGAGATTATTGGTTGGGGTCTTCTTGGGCCGAGTTCGAGCGTTCGCGGTGCCGCCTCTGCCGTCTTTGGATCTTCCAGGGCTCCCGCACAGGCCGTCTTGGGCTCCAAGACGGCCCATGGAGACCTCCAGAATCCAACTCTTCGCCTGGGAGTTCGAATCGGAGCGCTCAGATATTATTCGGTGGGGTCATCTGGAAGCGATTT